GACAAGTTTTTCTTTTTTGAATTTCTCAATTTGTAATTACGTATCATTCATCAGGGCCGTCTCAGATCACACCGTAACGCACAAATATAATTGAATTTCACCTTTATAGACGAAGTGGAAACAAGGTGGATGCCCATTCAATTTTGAGACTTGAGAGAGACATGCTCACTCCAATGATGTAAATGATTTTTTAATTTAAAAGGTATTTTGAAATTTTTTAAAATTTTCACTTTAGTTCAAAGACAAATTTAGATTATTGAATAAATAAAAAAATTTAAGGTTAGTAAAAGCATATATGTTGCAGTTTTCCTAGCTTGATAAACAATATTTCCTAGTTAATATACAGTCCTTCTATTAGGCCACCTAATAACTATTAGACGTATACTATTTTTACATATATTTCGTACTAAAATGTCATACTTTAAATTATAATATATATAATCTAAAGTATGTCACTTTATATTATAAAAAAAAAAATATGACATTTCATATTATACGACATCTCAGATAGACTAACATCATCATTTTGTGTTGTATATTTGCGTAATTGTAGTAATCAGTTTTCTTACCGTGCCCATTTTTTTCCTCTCCTTATTCAGCTCATGCAACTTAGAAGAAAAAATCGAAGTTGTCCAAATTAACAGTATAAAATATAAATGGAAAATAAATAAGTAGAGATGAATTATGGTCACAATAATACAAGCCAAACGATGATGCTAAATGTTATTAAATTCCTCTGCATCCAATTAAAAGACCAAATCTTTAATATCTTCCATTGCTGATGAAAAGCTTTTAAGCAGCTGGATTTTCCTTTTCATCTGCAATGTCTTGGCCTCCCCACTTTCTCATTCGTTCTGTCGTCTGCTCGACCTGTAGATGTTCACGGATCGTTAAACTAATCCGACCACTTGATAATGGACATGTGCTCGATTTCAAAAGTCAAAACATCAATTATTTAAAAAAAAAAAAACCAAAAAGAGAACAATAACCTCCTTTTTCCAATTGGTTTTATAGAGCACCAGAAGAAGCAATAAAGTCTGCATGGCTGTCCCAGCAATCATCCCTCCCCAAAGTCCCTGTGATCAGACCAAGGAAAATTTACGATTTAATTATGCATATATAAATATTCTATAAATTAATATTTTCCGATAATATTTGGTTTACCACGACGCCAAGGTTAGCGACATAGCCAAGAACATATCCTAGAGGCAGGCCGAAAATGTAGTAACAAGCCAAGTTAATATAAGCCACCAGAGCTTGCCATCCGCCTCCCACGGCAACACCTAAATGCATTACGGCTCGTCAAAATTTACTCGAGTGTTCTTGAATCAAGACAAAGTTAAATTACGATATAGTGCTTTTTTTTTTCTTTTTTTTTTTGGTCTAAAAATGTTACCTGATACAACTGGTTGGACGCTGTTGAGAACCATTGTGATCCCGAGAAGGCCCGACAAGTGAGCAACAGCCCGTTGCAAATCCTTGCTGTTGGTGAAAATTATGCTGAAGTAGTTTCTAGTTACGAGGATGACAATCATGCAGATTATCCCGATCAGGAGGGATTGGAAAACAGTCGAATAAACAGAGTATTTGGCTGTTCTAGGATGTCCTAATCCCAGCTCATTCGACACTCGCACGCTAAATATAACCAAACGCAAAAATAAATTAGGCCTTTGTCTACTCGATATGAAATCTCATGCTTACTCTGAAAATAGGGAGAGCTCTTTCACTTTTTCATATGATTTTTTTCTTACCTTATAGCGGCATTAATTCCAATGAAAACCATGGCTTCCATCCCATTCACATTGGTGCTGCAAAGAATGATCAAAGACAGACGATTTAGGCTATGTTTAGTAAACTTAGCTCATAAGCTAGCTTATATCTTTTACGTGAATTTCGAGCTTATAGCTATATCTTATAACTTAAAGTTGAAAAACTAGCTTATATCATATAAGTGTTTGATAAAATTAGCTGATATCAGCTGGCTGAAATAAAATTTTCAATAGGCTTATTCGAAAAACTACCCAAAAAAACTTATAAGATAAACTTGCTCGTCCTACCAAACCAAACTTATTGAATACAGGAAGCTTATAAGCTAATCAAATAAGTTATAAGCTAGCTTATATGCTTACCAAACACAACCGTAATAAGATGCAATCGAAATAAACAAAATTACCAGATGGCAAGTGAGCCAACTGCAGTCACGGCATTATCCAGAATCCCCGTGAGAACAGTAATGCTGGCCATGTACCAAATCTCCAGACACATCATCACAGCCGAAGCTAACGAAAGCCTCACAAACCCCCAAATCTCCTTAAAAGCCGACCAAGAGAACCCCTTCCAACCATCCCTACACCACCCGACCACATATACGAACTGAGCCGCCGCAGTCCC